GCGAGAGATCCTTTTGGTCCACCCTACCTCACGGCAGTAGCTACCGATCCTCTTCAGTCAATACATCCTAGTATTATTATTGTTTTTTTCTTTCTTTCTTCCTTTTCTCTTTCGGTTGCCTTTCTGCCATACTTTATCGTTAGTTAGCCGACGTCCGTTTCGTTTCCCTCAAAACCACAAACCCAGTCCACAAACAATCACACAAACAAACTTGAGATTCCTCACCAAACCTTTCAAATACCCGTTTCTCATCCGTTCACTGTTCCTACTATTTCTGCCTTGCGACATTAAAAGGGCAAACACTTCGATAGTACGCTGTTACTTCTTCGCCTTCAAGAGTTTTTTTTTTTTTTTTTTTTTTTTAAAAAAAAAAGGCTTACCGATTCGGTTTTCCTGTCAGGCGTTTTGCGGTTCTGTTTCTTGACTGAATTCGCAGTAGTTTCCCCCTTTGTCTTTTTAGGCGTTGTTTGCGTTTGGGTTTTTACCTTGCTTTCGGACATATTTGCCCGAATTAATCCTATTGGCGGTATTTTTTTTTCGGCTTAAATTTTTTTTTTTTTTTACGATGACGGCCACGAACGGTTCCCCATCGCCTAAGCCTCGTCCTGGCAAACATCATCGTCACACTAGGAGCAGTTCGTCATTAACACCTTCTGGCCCTAAAAATCATCACTCTCTCAATCAGGGCTCTCAGGTCCCCTTTAACACACATTACATTCCATTCAACAATCACCATCATAATAATAATCCTGCTGTTCGCTCTGCTGGTGCTGTTTTGACACCACCTCAGACACCAAAAGCACAGGGATTTATTGCGAGTATGGAGACTTCAGGTAAAAAGAAAAAGAAAACGAGGGGTAGACAGAAGGATAGCGTTCCAGCCACGAAACCTGTTCCTCTTCCTTTCTCTCCTGTGGGGACCAACGAGTCTGTCAAGACCCAGTCCGAAAATATTGCCGAGCCCATTTCGTTGGGCCAAATGACTCCCCCGAAGCTTTCGGGCACCCCCATGAAAGCATATGCCGGCCCCTTGTTCCATTCATCCCCGAACCCTTCTGCACTCCCTGTTCCAAAGTTCTTTTCCAAGTCCGTACCGGTTACTCGCGCCGGAAATGGATTACAAGCGATGGTAGAGAGTGAAGATTCGGAGGACAACTCAACGACTTCCTCTGTTGAGCAGACTGGGGAATCTCATCTTCAGAAATTGTTCAGGGTTGACAAGGAAGAGAAGGAGCGGTTGAAAATGAAGCGTCAAAGCTCTGGGTCAAGTTCATCCACTGAGGGCTCCATTGGAACACCTTTTGACTGTTCCGAGTTCAATGGCAGCAGGTCGGATGCATTTTTTATTGGCAGTGAAAGACAATGGCTTACTGGGTTCTTAGTGTTTTCGAAATGGTCCGATCTGCACCGCGTACTCCTAGGCCAGTGGACGGAATCTTCTCAATTGATATGGACAAACCGACTTCACCCCTCCCGACCCGCTTATTCCACCGCACTCACTCCTCACCATTCAATCACACATTGTCGGCCACACAAAAAAATCAGACTGTTTACACTCCATCTAAGGGAGATGATCTCAAGCGTACGGCTGATCTTCTGAAGTCCCACCTCTTGTCTCCGTTGGCCTCACCAAATCACGACGAACCTTCCTCACCCGTTCCTGCCCCGAGGTCTCAAAGGCCGAACTTAAATGCGGGGCCACCCCTAACTCCCACCCGGAACAATCAGGCTAGTCCGGTTCAGGGGTTTGTTGGGATTCCAAGCTACTCTCTCGATAGGGCTCCTCGAACTTCTGTCAACGATTTGTTCGGCTCGGTGGTACGACAGGCTGGACCCCCGCAATCTCCTCTTGCCTTGAGGGCGTCCCCTTTCTGCCGTGATGCCCCTTTGAACTCTAGTTCACCCCAAAGGAACTCACAGCCCAAAAAGTCAGCACTTGCATCCAAGCTCGAAACCGCTAGAGGATCTGATACGCCGTCAAAAAGCGTTGCCGAAATGGAGAACGACCTAAGACGGGCACTGAATTTGGATAGCTACGTCTCTAACGCTGCCTTGGGCGGCGGTGTTCTGATTTGATCTTGCATCTCAAAAATTTCTATGATTTCGGTGTCTGCCCTTTCTGTCCTGCTATCGTCCCGCCAAAAAATTTTTACCACTATTCTCTTTTTCTGGTCTTTTTAGGGGATGAAGTATATAGCTTGGGAACATCTGAATTTCTTTCTCACTGGGGTTTTCTGATTTGGGTTTTTACTAAATTACTTTACTTTCTCATTAGGGGCTGTACTTTTTCTTTTCTTTTTGTGCTCATGTGATTTGCGACTGGTGGAGACAGGAGTTTATGGTGGTACGCTATGTGTTGAAGAATTCTTTCCTCCACTGTTGTCACTATATATCTCATTGTTCCATTTGTATCTGTTTTGGCGATTTGTTGGGTGTGCTTCTGGGTGTCTTGCATTTTGGGTTACGGGGACTATTTCGTTTTCTTTCGGTCCTATTCTGGAGCCTACCGGTTTTCCTCTAGGTTGACTAGCTTCTTTTATGGAATGTATGTCTTTTCATGGCATTTGTCTGGTTTTATTTTCCGGGTAAGGGGTTCGGTCGGTCAAATAGTTGGGTTTTCAGCGTTTTTGCTCTCTTCCTTGCTTTTCTTTTTGTCTTCCCTTTCTACCCTTCCACGCGTTTACATTTGATTTGGACACACTACTCGGTGGTTATTTTTGCCATAGCAAAATACCCTTTCCACCTTCTTTCCCGTTACTTTCGCATAAATTTACCCTTCAAAAACCATTTCTTCCGGAAAGATCAGCTGGCACTCCTTTGTCGGCGCGTCACATATCAAACCTAGCTTTTCCTTTTCTTTCTTTATCTTTACTACAAGACGATCATTTCTTTTCCCTAGCTTGTTTCGTGTGTCATATTTCGAGTATATACCCTTTTTTCTTTTTTACCCTTGGTATATAGCCTTCTCGAGCTTCCTAGGGGGCGCGGTTTGGGACTTGTTGGGATGGGTAAGTGGGAAGAATGTATAGGTAATGGTGGACCGTATTGTATATACTTCAAGGAGGGGGAAGTTGGTGAAGGTATCGTACGGGAATGGGTTGGGGGTGATTGAGTGATTGGGTTGTTGGTGTGGGGGAGGGGAAGTTGGAAGTTGAAAGTTGGAAGTGGAGAGGTGATGGTGGCGGTGGGGTTGATGGAAAAAATCTTGGGGAACGGGGGGGAGAAAAAGGGCGCCGGTATTCGATAGATAGGAACGGTAGTTCGATCGTTAATTGACAATTTTTACGCCCGATTTGAGACCATGATGTGATGCAATTTCAACAGCTTCAAATAATGGCTGGGCGATCATTTCCAGGTCATGTCGTTATCGGGGTTAACATAACCGGTTCATTAAGGTCATTCGATCCCTCTTCCCTTCTTCCTGAACCCGCTGACAGTTATGATAGACTATCATGTCTTGGGTTGGTTTGCACCGATCAGCCAGCCACCACCAATCCAATTCACCCCTCCACGACAGTCGCGGTCCCCATAACAGCATACCCACTCTTTGTCTCTGTCCACAACGAATACACCGCTTCCACCCGCTCCTCAACCTTCCCTCTGCTCTTCAACTTGCCACAAATTTTATACTCCTACCCCCCCCCATTCACATTAGCCATACGCCCTACTATCACACTACTACCCCCCCCCCCCAATCAAGATGGAAGCTCACCTCCCCAACAACCACCGGCACCAAACACCTATACACAAACCCCTTGATTCTCCCCTCCTGCTCAGCCCTGAGAAGCTCGAGCAAGAAAACCACGGATAAGGGCCCGTGCACCAACGGGCCTGCATGGGACTCTACGCCGGCCGCAAATCCCGGATCATAGTGTATCCGATGCGCATTATACATCAGCGCCGAGAAGCGGAATAGCAGATGCTGGGTTGTCGCAAACTCGCGGGAAAAATCCGGTTTTTCGGGGGGGCGATTGCGGCCGCGGGGTAGGGGCGGGGAGGTGGCGGGGGGTAGGAAGACCAAGTCCCTTTTTTCCACTATTGCGGCAGCGGTAGTAGCGGGGCTGTTGGCGGGATAGATGTGTCGGTCGAAGGAAACGAATGTCTTCCCATTCTTGCTGACTACGTTTGTGATTTCTTCCCTGAGGAGCGCGTGTGAGTAGGTTTTGACGGGGGAGTTGAAGGTCAGGCTCCCCCCTGCCCACAATCGCCGCGGGAGGAGGGGTGTCGGGGAGTGCTGCGCGTCGCTGCCGTCCGGAAACAGCTGGGATTCTGGGATTGGCGGGGGGAAGTATATTAGGTGGTGCCCTGGTGGCAGGGGTTTGGGCGATTTGGGGAGGGTGGAGGGGAGTGTGGTGTTTAGGTAGGGTGATAGCGCAATGTCGAGGAGGTGGGTCGGGGTCGGGGAGATGAAGTCTTCTGTTGGAGGGAGTGGCGGGGGGAATGCTGCGCTCGTGGTGGTTAGCAGGCGGATCATGGGTGTGCGGGGATATAAGCGGATGCTGGGTGTGCGGGGGTGGATGCGGGGAGGCATTCTGCTTTGAGGTTTTTTGTTGTTGGATCGTCGGAGTGGAGATTGTGCGAGAGTTCGGACGAAGTCAAGTCAAGTTGAGTTGCGGAAGAGCCGCACTCTCGGCCCGAGGACGGTTGGCGCTAAATGTGCATGCCGAAGCAGGGATGGTCGTGTCTCAGTTACACGGCAGTTCGGCAAAAAAAAACTTAGGTTACTCGAGTGAGATTCCGTGAAACGCAGAATGTATTAGGGATGGTGCGTATGATCCTCCTTGAAGCCTATTTAAAGATTGAGGGGAAAATTTCGTCTTGATTTGAAACCTGGGGGTTTCCGTTCGCTATCCGGCTGTGGGGAAGTTTGGAGTTGCAAGCAGGGACAGGAGGTTTTATCGCACGGTATCATACTGCCTCTCGCTTGGGGAGTGCTCATACGGCGCCGCTGGTTTCAGCGACCTATGATACTTGCCAGCTATGTGCCGTCTTTGAGGCTTGTCTGATGCTACCTACCGACAGTCCGAAAGTTCCATCATATTACAGGCTAATTACAGTGCGGCACAAGTAATTTTTGTACGAGCAGCGTGGAGGAAAACATACATTAATACTAGGCTCCATCGCCCATAGGACACCCTTAGAGAATACATCATTGCCCGTCGACCGTACTGTGATGCGCTCTCGTCGGTCCGCTCACTCGCACACTTATGGAAAATTGGAAAGCGGGTGATCGGCTGTGATCGGGTGGTGGTGCTGGAATGGGTCATATAGGGGGGGGTGCATGATCGACTTGATTGCCTTTGGATTTCGGTCTCTGTATCAACTACCGGTGGGCTTCGGATCTACCCAAACTGGTGGCGCGCGCGCGGGGGGGGTAGACTGCATAGCGAGTGCTTTCGGGCGTTGCGAGCTCTGTGCTTAACAGTACCGCAGCTACGATAGTAGTCTCCGAGATTTCGTTATGCTCTCATAGGGATGGTGGTAAGGACCACACGGGGACCTATCCAGGGAAGGGAATACAGGTGGAGCAGATTCCCAGAACCTGCAGAGCTTGGGCCCGGGAGCATCGTTCATCTCGGGTTCTGCGGGGGGAGGGGTTCGCGAGAGCGATAGCATTTACTAACCATGTGGGATACGCTTCCGCGCCGAGATGCAGAAGCTTGGATTGAGATTGGGAGTGGATTGCCCTGTCTGGTTGAAAGCGTTTTTCTTGCTCCGAGTTGTATGATACCGAATATATTCTCCCGTGCCTGGTTAGTCTGGCTGGGGCTGATACTGTAGCGTACCAAAAATGTAGTGCCATAGCAGCAACGAGTGCGCTAGTGTCATACATTCACATACCATATAACCCCATATTATTTTCCCCACAATTCGCGGTCAAACCTAAACACGCCTTCGTTTTATGATATCATACCACGGACATCAAAAGAAACCGTGTGCCCCAAAGACCTTGCAGGGGTGAGGGGGCTATCGGGAGGAAGGAAGGAGGAAATCAACAGGATGGGAATGCTCACGTACAACAACTAGACTACTCCGTTTTTTTCCTCAGGAGGAGAGAGGGATATGTATCATAAATCGACGCAACGTTCCCAAACCGTACGCATCAAGTACTCACCCAACGTGACCCACAGGACACGGGCGTACTAACCCACCGTTCCAACCGCACCACCACGCAGCGGACAAAAACCCCCCCCCCCCAATTCTCGCTCATCAGGTCGATTCGAGTGACAAAGCGATCAGGTCACGGAACTAACTGAGCCCAACTCGCGAGTTCGCACAAAGGTGTAGACTATTGTATTGTCGTGACTCGCATTCGTGTATCGGCGTAGCGGTAGACTGCATAAGTATGATACGTCGACACCTATACCGGTACCCGAAATTTCAGGAGGGGACACCAACAACAAACCTGCCCGCTCGTGAGGATCATACACATGATACATAACTACCTATGGTGCGAGGAGGAAAGTTCGTCCCGTCCGTCAGTACCTCCATCACAGCCCATCACCCGCGTAGCAACCTACCATAACCTGGACCCCCCCCCCTGTCCTCCCTCTTCGGCTTCCCACCACTTCTCGCCACGGCTGAACAGGGGTTGCTAGAGTACAGTAAGCCATGCATCGATTCATTCGTTCGCCACAAAGGGGAAATAATACGGTAATTAAGGCCCCCAAGGAGAAACCCCCCAATCGGACCAGTCCTCGCGCGCGCATCACGGAAAATATTCTGCCTCTCCCAGTCGGCCTAGCCTGCCTTACTCGTACAGCCTACCGTAAAATTTGAGATCGGAGTACTGGGGTTGGAATCATGGAAACCGATTAGCTCGCTCCAATTAGAACTCTGGAAATGCCCTCTCATTTTCCCATCCTTTTATCGCCGGTTGTACTCGTACTGTACAGTACCGTACTCGAGTATCCATCCCGGGCGCTATTTAAAGAAACATGATGGCATGACACATGAAAATCGCTTTAAGCAAAAGGAAACGGAAACGTCATGTGCCACCCCACTGTGTTCAGCCATAGCTAGGCGCAGTAACGGGCTCACGCAACATCACTCGAGCAATAAATAAAACATTTCATATCATACTAAGTTCTGTTCAATGATATTATGACAGCTAAAGGTTAAGGTCCGAACAAGTTGGTCGACTTGTTGGGGAGGTGTCCCGAAGGTACAAGACTAGTTCAAGTTCACACTACCAGCAGGAGGAAGAAAAGAAATAAGACGGATACGCGCAGCGATGTATCAAGAATGTAGTGTTAGAAAGGTAAAAAGTATAAAAAGGTCGAGGAATGTGTACAAGAGGTTGGGAAAAGGTGAATGTAAAGGTTCACTTTTTTTGCGGCTTCTTTCCCCTCCCTTCCTTAATTGATGTTCCAACTTTATGGCCATCATGTAAGGGGGACAGGATAACGGTGATGATACTAATAGCACAGAATGAAGATTGAGGGCAGAAAGAAGTAAGAGAAAAAGTATATATAATGGTTGAGCAATTGAAGAGGGAAAAGAAGAAAAAACATTTCAATGCGACCATCATGATTTATGCCAGTACCGCCCACAAGTGTAAAGGAAAAAAAAAAAAAAAGACAAAGGTATAAGAAAGAGAAACGAGAAAGGAATTGAATGAAAAGGGCTGGAAAAATGGCTCAAGGCCAATTCCCCATGTAATTAGCAGCTGTGTCCAAAGCCATCAATATGCCCTCTAATTAATAAGTATGCGGTTCTTAATCCACCCAATGCCAACAAATGAGAAACGTCAAGCCATTCTATCTCACATCCGTATTATGTCCTGGAAACTATACCTCAAGACTGGATCGCTGTACCGCAACCGACGGAGGGGGGTGCGAAACTATATCGGTCGCGGCTCTCTTAAGCTTTCCGCTGTCATCTAGCGCGACAACTTCTAACCTCTGAATCGTATCGGATGGTTTCTCCTCGAGTAAAGGCTCGTCTAATAGGTTGGCTGCGGGACCCTTTGATGAAGAATTCTGTGCCTTGGTGTGGACAGGGATGGGGGAAGGAAGCTCCTCGGTGACACTTCGTAGGGGTTTGCTTAACTTCTTGGAAGGCGGTTTGAGATGGTTATCCGACATTGTGCTTTCCTCCCTTGAGGGCCTTGTGAGGCCGCCACGGGGACCCTGTCCATTTACTACACCGAAAGCCGTTGGAGACATGGTAGAGGGGTGTGGTGACTGTGTCGGAGACATTGATTTTCTGACGCGGCGCCTCCCGTATTTGCGTTCATTTCGAACCCGTAGAATTTCCATATACGGTGGTTCTGATCTTGGAGCTCTTGGATCTTTGAGTTTCAACTCCTGAGTTTCCTCGTCTACCCACCAATGAGGACTCGCCAAATCGTCTGCTACCATCGCAAGGAAATGTGGCCATGATTTCGCAACAACAAACTTGGTGTCATAGTCACGGCCAAAGAGAATAACTTGTCCCCATGTTCCATTAGGCCCGGGGGCAAGGTCAACAGCGATGTTGTTTCCACCCCAATCCCTGACCATGGGGATCCAACCCGGATGAGCATAGGCCTTTACAACCGCACCTTCCGGCTGCGAGTCCTGGCGAGCTTGAAGGTTCTGGCGTCCAATAGAGCCAGCTTCCAACCTAGATGGTCCAGCTTCCCCATTTGGCGTTGGCGGAGTAAGAGTCGGATTGGCCAAATATTCCTTCTCGACCTTTCTCCAATTTTTCCACTCATCCAGCATCTCCTCGCAGTCTAGTAACATTGCGCCAAATATTAAACCGGTAGGCATTCCGCCCCGTTCCTGTCCGTCGTGAATCTGAAGTGAGTCCCTCACTTCGATGGGTAGCGAACAGTCCAGGTTGTACTCCAACTCGTTGATGTCATTCACCGATGCGGGAGTGCACAGTTGATCAAAGAGCTCAGGATAGTTATCCTCGCACCACCGGTCGATCCTGCTCCAGGAATGACTTACAGGGGGAGGCGGAGGTAAACCATCCGTACCAAAGTCTTGCAGAGCTATTCCTCCTGGGGAACCATCACTCTGCAAAGCGGAAGACCTCATGCCCGGAGAATAGGGGGAATTCGGACCTTGGATGTTTCCATTCAGAGGCCTCGGGGAATAAACGCCGTTTTGGGAAGCGAGAGCGGTGGTAGAATGGTTCTCATCGCGGTAGCCAAGATTGAGACTGGTGTCGGCACCGGGTGAGGAAACGGATTGTAATCCAGGGTTACGACCGACGCCAATGTGTTGACTGCCCATGTTCGAATGAGATCTATAAGGGGAATCGTGGTTCGCATGCCTGTCGTTTGAAGTCATCGCGTGCCAAAAGGAGCGGAATCCCGAACCGAGTCTATCATGTTTGCAGTCAGTAACTATACTCCTAACACAGGTACAGGGTAGGGAGCAAGGAAAGAAATGTAGAGGTACAAACCCAGGAGCCATGATTGAAGGGGCCGCCAGTTTTGACCGGACCAAGTGGTTTATAAGGAAGAGAATAAAACGATCGAGATTTTCTCGAAGTACCCAGGACCAAGGAATGTGGGGAAGAAGTAAGGATGGTTTGTTTGTTGGTCAGGAGGAGGAGGAGTAAAGGTTGTTGAGGTTGAACTTGTGAGGTTGTATGGTGGTTAACTGTAAATAGGAGAGCGCGTAATGGGTTAACACATCAAGGCAACGAGCGAAGGAGGGAAGCAACGGAAGAGAGGGCGAGAGGTTGGAGCAACCAGTGACCAGCGAGACGACTCGACCGAAAATATATAAAGACAGCAACCAAGAAGAAATAGAAAATAAAAAATAGGAGAGCCGTGCTTGTGATTTGAAATTGAATGGATTCAGAAATAGTTCATTCCCACTAATTGTCTACTGTTTACTGACCGTAACTTAGCAGTGAGAGAAGGATCCCGGATGATGGGGAGAAATAAATTTAAGGGAAAGAAGAAGAAGAGAACGTTCGGGTGGGTGAGGCGTGGAGGGTAAGTGAACGGGATCAGGCTGGCCGGTCTAAGAGAGAACAGGACACGGGCGGCGGAGGAGACAGGCCGCACCGTAGGGTTACTTGTAGGAGTAAAGTGTCAATGTACTCGAGTACTGTACACGGACTAAGTTAATGTCTAAAGTAAATGACAGCAGAACAGGTACAGTACTTACATAAATGAGTGTTTCGAGGAAGGAGAAGAAATGAGGAAAAGTAAAAATAAAAAAAAATAAAAAAAAGCAAAGAAAAAGAACACAGAGAGAGTGCACAGAACCCATCGAACAAAGGTGCAGAAAACAGGGGAATCTGGGTACCGGGGGGGGGGGGGAGTAGGCACTGATAACGGTGATGATAATGAGGTTTTCGTAAGATACGGTATGGGTTTGAAGGGAATTAAGATGTCGGCACTCTACTCGAGTACAGTACAGGTACAGTACTAGTACAGCAAAAGGTAATAGCTGCAGTAACCTTAACAGTTAATATTCAATTGTCCTCCATTTCTGGTAGCAACTTTTCCCTTTTATTTTATTTTATTCTATACTCTTCCTCTTCGAAGGTTACGGTTTCCCGCAGGTACAATATGGGTTCATAACCTAGCACCGTTATCCCAAGCCATTCTGCTCTTCTTCCCTTCCTGGAAGCTCCTGCCTTGTTCTGGTCAGGAAATTGGAGGTTGACAGCATCTCCTATGATACAACTCAAAACGTGGGAAGGGGATCAAGATCCCAAAAGAATAAAATGGGAAAAAAGGCGACAGGGGTTAAATAATGCCCACCTATCACATCCAATCAAGCATCGCCGCCATCGCCGAACTAAGCACGGTATGTGGGTATGTGAATGCCACACTTTCTTTCTTCAGCTTTACATAACCTACTCGAGTACCGTAACGCTTTCCTTTATCATCCTCCTCGTCGCATTACCGGCGCTTTGTCCATCCCCTTCAGTCCTGTTCAGGCAGTAAGATTTCTCCTCTTGCGTGTCTGCCTCAACCCTATGCCCTCATTGATTTGACAAGAGTCGGAGGTATCATATCATACATAAGCCAAACACCATGACCCTATAAAAATTAGTCAGGCTTTTAACAGGGTCTCGTTCCATCGCAGCCGTTATGCCATGGGAGGAAAATACTGGTATCATGCCTCGGTTTCAACAGCTTCACCAGCTCCGTTCAGAGTCCCTCATGCATAACGAGGATAGCAAATATCACTCCTAAAGGAATCACAACTGCCCTGGTGAATAGGCAATCGGGTATCGAGACATCAGCGAAAAAGAAACAAAAGCACATGTAGAATTCTCAAGCCAACCGAGTATTCCAAGAAAAAACGCGATAACGGTATCGTAGATGCCCGACTTAGCACCGCCACCACACACCCTGCATGCTCCACCGTGAAAATCAGCACTTTTTCCAGGATTCGCATGGCTAATTAGCAACAGCCACAATAAAGCAGAAACTCGAGCCTCACGCTATATTGCTATTTCTGAATTTCCCGCCTGAACTTTGTTCCTGGCAGATAAAAAAAAACCCCCCCGCACTTCCGATCATCATGCCCACATTACGACTTCAACCCATGCCTACGATGGGGAAGGAAAAAAAGAAGGAAGAAAAAAAAAAGCCACCACATGCATGATAGAGATAGAGAAAACGTTCCGTTTCAACACCCCATTTTATTACCGGCGTTCGCCTTCTCTCTCGAACGGAAAGAAATACGGATGGATGTCGCACAATAACGTGCGTGCAGAAGAATCGAAAGAAAGATGAGATAGAGTTACCTTACCTGCCCTCCCGTTTCGCAAGGCACAGGTACGATCCAGCACAGTAATCCAAAAGTGCACACACTAAGCGCTTTGAAGGGTATGTATTGCCGTGGGTTGGTGGAACGCAGTCGCTGGTTACGGTACTTGCGCTATGTATGGTATATATGGGCATTAAACAGCCTAAAATGGGTGGGAAGGGCGATAAAAAAGATCGGCTATTACAAGTATTATTCGTTTCGTCGAGTTGGTGGTGTGTACTGTACTGTAGACTATGTCTTAGCTCTTGTGTGTGCCATTCGTACCGGTAGATTGGCAAATGCGTTTAAGCTTCTTTCCCCGTTCTATTTTTCTCGTTCGGCGCCCCTGGAGCACAGCCGCATTTGTATGATATCGTGGGGTTGGTCTTTTTTTTTTTTTTTTTTTTTTTGATCTCGGTGATCTCGGTGTCATATGTCAGGGCTCCCTATAATGGGCGGGTTATTAATGTACGAGTACGGGAATTCAATGGAAGGGGTTTAATAATAAGCAACGGCGACTGCACTCGCTTGATGATCAAGCTTTTGCCAGCCTTTCTGAGCACAGCGGCCTATTACCCGGGAGGAATAGATGCATACGTACGACTGGACGAGTGAGAGGGGGTGATTGCTCGGTGCGTTTATTCCTGTCAAGGACTATGAAGTTGTGTATGCGGAGATGGAGAGGAATCAGGTGTTTGTGGGGGAAGGATCATATTTAACAGCCACAAGCGATGCGGTCGTCTAGCGCTGGTCGCTATCTTCGGGAATACGTATGCACGGTATGATAGATGAAGCATAAGTTAGTTGTGTCGGATTTGGTGTTCTCGGACAAAAAAGTCAGCACCGGTGCCACAGATAGAATACCCGTATGCAGGGAATAGGAGCCTCCCCCCACCCGTGATTAGGCCGAGTTCTTGATAGATAACCGATGTCTTTTCTCTTGTAAGCGGGAGGGTACGATACTACTCGTACTCGTACAGTATCGCAACCTCCTCTGTTCATCCCTGCACTGCACAAACCTAGTAAGGAATAGCCCCAAACTTGACTCCAACTGGGAATCTAGAGCAGCCACCTACAAGTACCTACCCCTGGGATGAAAAAAGTGTACGAGTAGTCAGTAAACGTTTCGGCTTCTCAAATAGGCATGCCAGCCTGGTTGCATTCTCCCATCTTTCTAGACTATTTTAACGTCCGCGGCTCGTGAGAACCCTCAGAGAGCTTGGTAGTTAGGCGGGGGTAAAGTGAAGGGAAATCCCTTGATGTGGGAACTCAAATGGCCAATAATTGGTGCCCTCTTTAGATACGAGGTACAAGGCCCACAGAGATATCGTGCATATCGAGGCCCAAGGCAAACCCCTCACCGGGCCCTACCAAGAGGCAGTATGATACGATATCATACTATCATAGTCGCTAGGCATCTCAGTGAAAATCAAGACAAATCCTCAAACCAGAACCAGTTATCCTACTACAAAACATAGGGCTATCGAGAATAAATGTATCGTATTCAGGAACAAGAAGGCTCGTTAGACTCACCGTGAACTTGGCACTGAAGACATCCCCTAAATACGATATTGCATCGAAGGAAATTCAACACCCACAGGACCTTGTAACCTACCCAATGGCGAATATATACGATACACATATCTTCCAGGTCCCTCATTGGGTAGCCCACCCGTCCAAGCGGCTACCATGGATGAAGGTCCGGAGAATTGTGGGTATATTCATGTAACCATCAGCCTCGTAACAACTCTAGCAATGGTATGAGCTTTTCTCCCCCTTTCCCGAGTCCCCTTGAGCCAGCTATATAGGGGGTAGTCATCTTAAAAAGAATTCCGGGGATTGCTGATGACAAATCATTGCAGCGCGTAAGACGGCATCGCAAGCGTTCATGTTAAAACCATCCAAGCTGGCCGATGGTAGCGAAAAAAAGGGCTGCCCAAAACAACCTCTGCCAATCGACGTGTATGCAGGCGCTTGTTGTGAATTGTGTTTCTGCTCCCCCACAAAGTGCCGTCCTGAGAGACACTCGCGACCGCTTGCGTCACCCTCTTGTGCATATGCCTATCTCTGGGTATTACTTCCTTCCTCTTCTCTTTCTCCCCCTATATGATGAATAGCAAATGCCAGAAAACCTCGACTCGATGTCTGCTCGTCCCTGCCTCTGCTCCTGTGATACTTTTCAAAAGCACTATCCACAGCACTAACCAATTTACCAATCCGAGAAGAAAAAAAGGTTTCAGAATCGAAAACTGAGGGATTATTTGTGATGGAGATATAGGTCTACGATACGCCAACTGACAAAAGTCTTGGCGGAACAGGTTTTCACTTTGCCTGTGGCGATGCCGGGTAGGTACATTGGGGTATGGGATCACCAGTTAAATTTACCGCAACCATAATCTGCAGCAAAAAGTGAAATTTTGTTTCAACACGCCTCCTCTCTCGTGACCGGAGTATGTAAGATTCATAAATTCTCTTTTCTTTATAGAGAGATGAATGGAAGAGGGGATATTATTAGTGAGTAGATGTTGCAGTGTTGCGGGGTGTTGTAGAGCAGGAAAGAGCCAAAAAGCTGAGAAAAACTGAGGGCTTGTTTGGCATGTATTCTGTACGTACAGTACCAACATTAAAAAACGCTGTGGTATTTGTCTTATGAAAGCGATGCAGCTTTTCAATGAATAAATGCGCTTGGCAGTATTTTTTAGTAGTGAGGCAAATCTTATCTGATCAATCAGCTCTGATCTTCAGCACTGCATATTAAGATACTGACGGATCCGCCATCATACCGCTGTTTTGCATTTCCCGCAATACAAATTTTATTACATTTTTTTATCGGTGAATGATATTTTGGCAGATAAG